GTACTTGCATCTAAATTTAACTAGGAGGCGCATACTATGGCATTCCTAACTGGAAAGTCATTAATCATCAACCATCACTTGGGTTTATATGCATAATAATTTTAATGGTAAGTGATGTATTGTTCTTTCTTACTTTTTTTTTTTTTTGAAATTTGACTTATTCTTCTGCTCACATTGATAATTATTGTTCTCCCTTATAAGTGGCATGTTGAGTTGTTCTTATCCCAATGAACCTAAGGCACTCAAGTTCCTCTGTGAAAATCCTCCTATTGAGGGCGCTGGGGGGGGGGGGGGGGGGGGGGGGGGGGATATAGAGGTTGAGCAAGAGAAGCTAGAAAGTCAGAGGAAGCTTACTGGCTTTCATGGAGCCCATATTGAAGAAGTATGCTGAGGGAGCTAATCCAAAGCCTTACCTAAAGAAGGATAAGGGGCTATGAGCGCGCCCACGGTGAAAGCGCACTACTCATAGTTTTGGAACCTAGATGATTAGATTTAATTTGGTTTACTCCTAATATATACTGATTTCATTTTAAGATATTAAGTTATTGAGAGACATATAAATCCAAATGAATATAGAAATGTAATAGAAAAGAAGGGGAAATAGGAGGTCAAGTGCTTTGAGGAACACTATGGAAATAATAGTGGTAGCATCATGGCACTATCTTTTTTGTATTATGATGAGAAATAAGGGAGCATTATGATGTTAGGGGTCACTGCAGTGGCATTGAGTTCTCAATTTTGGGGAGTCTATTATAGCCTAGTGCTACTCATCAGAGCATCACATCACCATCTAGTGAAACATGTTATTATATGTATAAATTAAATCCTTTTCCTAAACCATCCCCTAGCTACTTGCCGAAGAAGAAAAGAAAGATGAGAGGAGAAAAGGAAGGAGAGAGAAAGAGAAGAGAGAGATTCATATGATGTAGCTTAGGATTAGTCTGTCATGACAATTAGGGGAATTGTTCTACTTGAGGTAGGTTCCTATTATCCTATATCTAATTTTAATTTTAGTGTTCTTATGAAATGATTAAGAGTATTTTTTTAATAAATATAAATAAAATTATACCATGTAAGTTCTCGTATGTTATAGAATGCCCTATTTTGAATATTTTGATTATAAGAAATAAAATTTTCATTGGTTGGTTTTACCTATGTTAATTTATGATTATTTTCTATTAAAAATGGCAAATATGATGTCAAGTATAATTCCCTAAAAGTCTTCTAAATGATTTAAAAAAGTTTATTTACAAATAATTTTCTAAGTAATGAAAGTTAAAAAAATATGAATAAGATACACATTCATCGTTCTCTATACTATGGTATATCAATGTTCATGATCATGCTTAGCTTCTTGTATTTATGTTAATTCTATAAAGTTTTACGTACACATTTATGATCGTATGGCATATGTTCTAATGCGGGAGGCTGATAAAGTGCATTATAAATTATATTATGTAGTCCCAACTTTTTTTTTTATTCTATTTTTTATTGTGGCCCATCTATCCTTGAAGGATGTGGGATATTATTTTCAACCTCATTTGCTTATTTTAGGCATGAGAAGTTCAAGGGAAGCATAATGGAATGGAGTTATAAGAGGATTCAGGATGGTCTGCTTCACTTAGTAGAGATTGACTATGGAAGGCATAAGTGGAATGAAGTTATAAGAGGATTCAAGATGGTCTTCTTCACTTAGTAGAGGTTGGCTGTGGGAGGCATAAGTGGAAGTGGAGTTATAAGAAGGCATCAGGACATGCCTATTACTACATATTTTGTTAAATAAAATAAATTGAATACCAATGACATCTTGGTAAAAATAGAATAATTTTAATTATAAAAAAATGTTATGAAATCAAGTACGCGATGTTATTTCTTTTATAAGTGAACTTTTAGGCTTTTACAAAGATGTAAAAGAGTTTACATACTCAATTATGTTATGGAAACCAATTTTCTCTGACACCCATATAAAAGTACAAGAAAATTGTATACATGTGAAAAAGTAAATTCTGACATATTTCTCAAAAACTTATAGTAGTTTTATATTCATTTAAACCTAATAGTCAAATATTTTATTAATAAAAAACAAACATGGGTATTGAAGTCATAATAGTACTTGAGTATGCCTAATTAGTTGAAATGCTTATTCTATTGACGTTTAATATTTCAGGGAAAGGAAACGACTTGTTAAAGTAAGGTCATAGGGAGTAGATCTGTTAGAACTCTCTGTTAAAGGTATCCTTTTTGTAATATAGTTTTCATATTTTGATGCGTAGAATGCAATTGTATTGGATTATTTATTTATTATTCTTTTTGAAATAAAATTTGAAATGTTTTTTTTTTATTATTTAAAGTTTTTTTTTGGATTATTTAGAATGGCTCTAGTATATTATTTTGTTGTTTAGAAATTTAGGTTTAGGAATTCAATTCTTCCCTTAGATCTAGAGGCACCATAGAAGGCGGCCCCCCTACACTCAATATAGCCTTTTTTGAGTCGAGTGAGGCTAAGAAGGCGGTGATGAATAAAGTAAAGTTGATTGTAGTGCCTCCCCTCTAGGGAACAAAAGGATTATCATTGACAAAGAAGTCTTTAGGCAACATGTTCAACATAATATCCAAGGCTATGATCAAAGGTGAGGGAAAGAAGGTCATATGGTTTCACAACCTTCTAATTATAAAGAGCCAACTTACTATGAGGAAGAAGAAGATTTTATCAACCCCCCAAGAGGGAACTACGATGATGGATGATAGTCTACTCAAAGTCATCAGAGGAGGACATAAAAAAAGTCTCAAAGGATGAGCTTTGTCTTCATAACTACGAACTCCATGTGCAACATGTGACAAAACACTGTCACCTTAACTCACAGTAATTGGTGACCTACGGTGAAAGTAGGGTCTTTAATGAAGGCATGCTCATCGATATAAAAGCAGCCCAAGAATGAGAGGACTACACAGCTAGATGTAGAATGCCAAGTTCATCTTTTGTGTGTTGACAAGTTGAGAAGGATGCAGCTCACTAGGAGCTGAAGAAGGTGGTTGCTCTGAGAGAGGCTGCAAATTTGGAAAACAAGAAAACTGAGGCAGAGATAAACAAGATGACAGTAGAATTCAAACCTATTGAAGAGAAATATGTATCTTTCTCCAAGTCCCATATGCATTATGAGATACTCGATAGAAATTTCATACATGGAGTCAAGTACTACCTACGAAAACCGATCTCTTAGACGGAACTCAACAACAAGTTTGAAGATAAGGCAACTTCTACAAACTAGCCTCTGACGAGGAGAGTAATGGAGTGAGTGCAACTGGTGATTGAAGTCACCTTGCCTTTTGCATTCTTTTCTTTTTTTGGGTGTCCTACAAGACAAATGTATATGCAATAGTTTAGAAGAAATATAAGGAAAGAATGTTTGTTTACTCATCTTTTTTGTTCTTCATTTGTACTCTCCTTGCTATGCTTTAAAGATATAAATTTTTTCAACTTTTAAACTCGATTCTTGTGTATGAAGGGTAGATTTAGCTTGGTTAATGTAGTAGTACTCACTTAGGAAAATTTTCTCTAATTCTTAAACAGGGCTATAACTAGGTAATGAATACTTTAACACTTAGATTCTTAAGAAAATAATTTAATACTTCCCATAACAAAATGAATACAAATAATTTTAATGAAAATAACATAATAGGTATTGAACTCATCTTTGATCAAAAGATGCATAAAGTAGGGATTAAGCAAACTAAACTTAAAGAAATGAACTCGGCACCTTGTTACCAAGTGAGTGTACTTGGCTTGCCTTGAAGGTAATTGATGAATATATTTAAGGTGATCAATTCCTTGGAGAACTTCATTCCCTCATCCTAGCTAGTTTAATGAATAATAAATATCAATTCCTAAATGAAAGGATTTTTTCACTTAGTGTGCAACTTGGTAATTTAAAATATGAAATCCAAATTCTGCAAACTCACATATCGATTGATGGTGTTTATATAACAAAGAATCAACACTTTTTGACGAGAAATCTAGATAATAATTACTTGTTATTGCTCAATGATGCTCGAATATGTGAACTTGAAAATTTGCCACCTTAAGTGGGCCTCATATTACGCCAAGCCATTTAGTCTTCATGGGGGTATCAACTTAAGACTTGCAAACTAGGAGGGACTGGTATGCTACACAGTACGAATCTTATTACAAAGGGGGGATTCTCCTTCTAAGGTTGATTACCTATATACGACTCACTGTCATCCTTTTAGTCTTCAAGGAGGTAACCCCATCCAAACACACAAATTGAAAAAAGCTCATGTGTACATTGTGGATTATGTTGCAAAAGGGGAGTTGCCTTCTAGGGTTAAGTTGATAAGTGAGGTTTGCTTTTTACTGAGATTGATACAATATTGATCATGAATGTGCCAAATTTTTTATTTAGTCCAAAATTGTGCAATAAGAAGCATAAAACCTCAAACTTCTCTAAATTAATCCACAGACACACACACACACACACACACACACACACACACACACACACACACACACACATATATATATATATATATATATATATATTGTACGCTAAAAAAACAAATAAGAGACTCCCCAATATAATGTTTGCATATAATTCAAACATCTACTTGGCATCCTTTGCCCTAACCAGTTTTAAAACTTCAACTTCCATGTCTCTTGTATTTTTATAACATTTTTGGGATTATGTTGATCATAAATTAACTTTGAATATATTTGAGAAAATAAAATTAAGAGAATTTATGTTGTATTTATATATATCTTCTATTTAAATTTTTATAGATATTTATATAACATCATAATCTCTTAATTAAATAAAAGATTTATTAATATTAATTTATCTAAAATAAAAAAATATTTTCCTATATATAATTTATTGTTATTAAATTATATAAATATAAATAAATAAATAAAAATTTAAAACCGCTGAAATCATCGAACGATCATAAATGTGCCACGTTATCAAAATCAGGACGCCGCATAATCGCCGAACCGAGCGCAGGGTCGCCAACATCACGAGGGAATGGCATTGGGAGCAGGACTGTCAAGACTGGTTGCAGTCGCTCCCTCTGTAAACCCGTCGGCCTCGAGGTCGAAATATTTTTCTCACTTCTTGATCCCTCCATCTGGAGCTGGACTTCTCCCCCGTCAACCATCCGGTCGCTCTCTCTTCTTCCGGTGTCCGCTGCCTCGTTTAGCAGATTCCACTTCCGGCTATCGAGGGAGAGTTTCCTTGGCCGCCATGTCGTCGTCGTCATCTTTCTCTTCTTATGAAGTGGAGCTTGCCGCCGCTAAGAAGGCGGCATCTCTTGCTGCTCATCTCTGTCAGGTGTACAGACTTGTCATTCCTCTCCTCTTTTGGACGATGTTGTAGCGTTTTAATTCCATGGTCGATTTTATTCATTCTAGTGGATAGCGAGGATGGATTGTTTGTTGTTATTATTTGCCTCTCATGTGAAGTAGGTTCCCTGACTTGTGGTGTGCTTGATTTTGAATTGTATTGTGGTTTGGATTCGTTGTTTACGAGGACAATTATTTGGGTAAAATGCTTAGTAGTTCCTTGCCGGTTTGTGCAATACAAACAACGAAGAAGTATAATACACCTTCCAGTGCTTTACAAGTTTATTTTTTACCTTGACATATTTGTTAATGGTTATTATATTTCGCTATTTAGTTTCCCCTTGCATGAATATTTTTTTCACTTTATTGTGTTCAAAATTAGAAGAGAATAAATACACGGAATCAAAGGTTCGAATGAGATGAAATCTACATGTTCTTTCGATTGTCATTCTTTTGCATGAAATGTTATGAATGTGAGGTGAATAAATGAGATAATGGTTGCTTGTTTAATGCATTGGAATGATTTTTTAAGAGAAACTATTGAGTTAATTTTTGCAAATGTTGCTAGAGTAAACTCAGGACAATTATGTTGATCAATTAATTGGGTCTGTTTGGTTTGAAATAAAATGGGTGTAAAATATTTCAAATGTAGGGGGTTTGAGAATTTTGGTGTTTGGTTTGAAGAAAAATTAATGCAGTGTTAAATTTTGATGTATTTGGAATGCACCCTTTACCTTAAATTTCATGTATTTGGAAGTCATTCTGTTTAGGCGATTTTTAAATACACTTGTTGTAACCCGTCACCATCTCCGCCACTAGTTGTCGCCGCTCATTACCTGCCACCGCCATCACTGCTATTTACTAGTCACCATCGCCTTCGCCGCCTGCCGTCGCCACCATCCACCACCATTGTCACCTGCCGCCATCACCTTCCATTGTCTTCAGTGTCAACCGAAACCTTTGTTGCAATCGGCCACTACTCGTTGGCTCCACTGGTGACCTGCCAGCCACTGTTGGTCACCGCCACCACTGCCGGCTATCAACCACCATCATCTTTTGACTTTACACTGTATTTATTTTACTTCATCTAAATAAAAAATAATAATCATCAACGTTTATTTTAAACTCATCCAACTAACTCCAAACACTTTCAAATAAGCTGACAAATCAGCACCTAATTAGATAATTAAAGATTGTTCATTTAAATTATTTGCTTACAAAGTTTTTTGATGTTTAGTTTGAATTAAAGTTAGTGAAGTAACAGATAGTTGTTTTATCGCATAGTTCATTTACTTCACAATTCTCAATTAAAGTAAATGCTAACAATTTATCACATTTACTTTACATTGCATTTGAAAAATGCACCAAACCAAATTGTCCAAGTGATGCAAGATAGCTTAAGGTCTAGGATTCCTGAAGTAACTGGATGATATGATGTATGAAAGTAATTCATATTGGAAATTCTCCGGTTAAATGTCACTAATTCGCAGACATTTACTTAAAATGCAAGAAATCTGAAACAAACAATAGTCTAATTATCATTTAAATCAAAGAAATTAGTGATGAAATGAAACCTTAAAAATATAGCTTAAATGGGATTCACACAGCTATCGGAAAGCCAAGTTGGTGTCGGAAGTATTTAAAATTAAGAATGCTAACAAAATCAATTACAAAGTATTTAGAAGAAAAGAGATAAGAATTCAACAAGTAGAGAAATCTAGGCATCAAATCGGCACTAGGAGATAACTTCCCATGAAATTTAATTATCACACTATCACTGCACTAGAAGAAATCCAACATCCAACAAGCAGAGACAATATTAAAATGAAACTTGAAATTTTATCAAGGCAAAAGTTTCGCCCATACATATCCTAAGATTATGTGTTTATGCACACTAATTCATCAGTTGTTTGCCTCTAAAATCTGACAAGTTCATGTGGAGGGTGGTCGTAACAAAATGCACTAGTTTTGTTTCTTCAATTCATCAGGGTAAACAAGTGATGCTATAGGCAACAAAATCACAAGTACAAGATGCAAGTAGAGCTGGACTCACAGGATGTCACATGAAACAAGAATCTTAAAAGCTGCAGGAACCATAGACATGACACCGACAATGCAAAAAAAACCAAAATCTGCTTTAAGGGAGCACCTACTAACAGGCTACAAGAGATGAAATGCTACAGGAGCCATGCAAGGTTATAGGAGCAGTACCCAAACAACATGAAAACAAAGGATTCCAAATGCGCCAATTAATTACTGAAATAGCTCCAAAGTGAAGAACACCACATTCACTAATTAATCCAAAAACAACACCTACAACAATAAGTATAAACTAGCAAATCTTGCTCAAATGATCATTTATAAACTTGTAAATCTCCATCAAATTTATTAGATGGAATGAATGAGTGTGCCTTCGCCAGTGCATAATTCATAGCAGTTTCTTTTTGGGTGGGAGTTCGCTTGGGGGGTTGGGGATTCAATGCATCATCTGTGGCTGTCACATTTATCTGTTTGCTGCAATGCATCATCTGTCAGGGTCATATATCAAAGACTTACATGTATCTCCCATTTTCAGAAAGTGCAGAAATCAATTTTGCAATCAGATGTCCAATCCAAAGCGGATAGAAGTCCTGTCACAGTAGCTGATTATGGTATTCTGCCTAATTTTTTGATATGAATTGCTAGTTTTTCTACGTATCCCATCATCTTCTATAGTGTATGCACGTTATGAGAAATAAGATATTCCAAGGAGTATACAAGTTATAGAAAAAGGGGAAAGTAGTTTTGTAAATATAAGAAGCCACTCAAAGGGGTAGCAATGTTGTAGCAATTTAAATGTAGAATTCTTTGGAAAGTGTAGCATTACTTATTTTTCTCAATGTTGCTCTTTTTATCTTCCATAGTTGCTATATACTCTCCTCTCTCCTTTTTATAGATATCTCCCTTTAAATGAATGCTGAGTGAATTCAGGCTGATTGAGTACTGGTTAAATTGCCAAATTCACGTCTTTTTTCTTCAAAATTTCGAAGCAATCATACTTCTCTTTCAGTCTTGTGTAATGCACACTGCATTTACTAGCTTTTTATCTTATTGTATCCTGGTCATTACCCTCGAAGGGCCAATAAGATGCTGAAGACCTCAAGGGGTTTTGGTCCATATTCTCTACTCCCTGTGCCTTAAGCAGGGATATAAGAAAGCATGAATTGTGCACTCCTGCTTTTTTATGGAAAAAATGAGATTTTAAAAACTCTTTTTTCCTGAAGAAAATGAATTACATTCTAGGATTTTACATTTTATTATCTATTACACGGGCTTTGTTGTTTGTTATGTGGTAATATGACTCTCTAAGATTGATTAACGTCAATATTCTAAATGTATGTCTCTGGATAATAGGTTGATCAGGAAAATTATTAACTTCCATTATGTAATTTGACATATTTTCTTTTAGAATATCATCTTTCTACTTTTGTTTGCAGGTTCACAAGCATTGGTCAGCCTTGTACTGAGGATGGAGCTTCCATCTAAGTCATTTTCGTTGGTGGCCGAAGAGGTGCATGCACTTCTCTAAAAATTATGCTTTAGATTCATGCGTGGTATGCACCCCAAATTTGTATGCAGCTATCTTATATTACTCTGCCATAGGATTCAGGAGACCTGCGTAAAGATGGTGCCCAGGAAACTTTGAAACGCATTACCAAGCTTGTAAATGAAACAATCACAACTGATGGTACATATAATCTTTCCCTGTCTGAAGTGGATGTGCTTGATGCCATTGATAGTGGCAAATCTGAAGGGGGTCCATATGGTCGGCATTGGGTTTTAGATCCAATAGATGGCACTAAAGGGTAATCAGAATTGTTTTTCTATTGAAATATTGGCTTTGATCTGTTTCTCAACAGCATTCATCTTTAATTAGCTATTGCAATAATGCAAATATTTTCTATTTTTTGTTTTTTTTTTTCTCGTAGTTGCTTGCCTAGAGATAAGTAGCTTATTCTGGTATCTATGTTGAATTCATCTTTTATTGATATAAGATATGTAATCAATTTTTATTAATATAATCTATTCATTCATATGATTTTGAATATGTTGTTAGATGATAAATCATTTGTATGGTTTATGCATAGTCTTTCTTTTTTCAGTTCTATCCACTAATTTTTTGCTTCATTTTTACTAAACGTTTGCTGTATAAACTAATTCACTTTCCCAGATTAGTCATAATTTAATAGGTTTTAGCTTTGGGTGTATGCATGCAATTATGCTTCATATGCACATCATTATGTGTGGACGGGGATTGTTTTTATTATCTGCATTTTTGGGATCATATTATTCTTTATTTGACAAAGCACATTTTTCACGTGAAACCTACTTCATGAGCCACTTCAGAAGGACGTGTGTGGTGCTCAATTTCACTTCAAAAGGATGAGGATTTGTTTATTTAAATTCACCTTTCTTCAAACAATTAGAAATTGGAGCAGAACAACTATAAAAAGTGTGTTAGACACCTGTGAGGTGGAATAGGCTTCCGCCTGTGAGGCGGAACAGGTTCTATCTTTAAGTGGTGTGGGGCCCAGCAGTCCAACAACATTTAAGGCTAACAATTAAGAAGAAATTAAAGAGGGAATTAGGAGGGAAATTCAAATTAGGAGGGTTTGTTTTGACATTAATTATATTTTGCATGTTTTAAATATATTGTTTACCCTAGGGTTAGGTTTTATCTTATGTTTTCTAAAATTGGAGAGTTCTAGGTGTGCTCTAGCCGCCGGCTAGAGTTGGGAGAGCCAGATCCTCCTCTGGATCCTCCTCTCCAATTGAGGATCCAATTGTATCTTATTATTTTCTTTCGTATTACTTGCAATAAAAAATTTGTGGTGTGTTCTTCCTAATTTTTTCATTATGGTTCGCTCATTTGGTTGAAAGAGCACCTACTTCATATCAAATTGGTATCAGAGCAATTTCCTGGGCAAAAATAGAAGTCTTCTTTACTGATTTCTGCTGCATTTCCTCTATGATCTTGTTGTTTTTCTCTGATTGAAGACCAAAACCATTATTTTTTGGCCGTTTTTAATATTTAGAGTTGAGATCCGGGTCCTCATGGCAGGAAAAAAATGTTTCAGATTTCAAAAGTCCATTGATCTTCAAACTCAAGTTTCATATATCAAAAGTCAAATTTCAGCTGTTCATGAGAAGATTGATGGAAAATTTCCCATCTTGGAGGAGATGTTGAAGAAGTTGCTCAAGGGCCAAATCAAAACGACGTCGTCGGAGACTGCTAATAGTCAAGGAAGTGGGGCAAACCCTAATCTGATAAGGCATAGAGAAGATCAAGAGGCGGAAATTGTGGACAGAGAAGAGACAATGCTTCCCCTAGAGCATATTCCTGAGGAGTCGGGTAGAGGATATGAGGAGAGGCATGAAGGGGTAGGACATGAACGGAAGGGTATTGAATTTGTAAGAAAAAAGATTGAAGTTGAAAGGAGGGGTGTTGAATTTGAAAGGAGAGGGGCTGAATCCGAAAAGCGAGGGCTTGATTATGATCAAAGAGATGTCGAATTCGAAAGGAGAGGGGTTGGGTATGATCGAAGGGACGCTGAATTTGAAGGGAGAAGGTGGGCTTTTATGAAATGTTTAGGTATGAGAGGAGAAGGGATGATTGTCACAATTTGGGGAAACCACCCCCTTGGGGAATGTAAAATTTTGGACGAAACTATGGTGACAGAGGAGATCTAAGGGTGAGGAAGATGAAAATGCCTATTTTTGAGGGAGAGGATGCACATGGATGAATCTTTAGGGTGGAAATGTAATTTACTATCAATAGGTTGACGGGGAGGAGAGATTGACAGCAGCCGTGATGTGTTTGGAGGGGAAAGCTTTAGCATGATACTAGTGGAGGGATACGAGGTGACCCATATGGACTTAGAGGAAGTTTAAGGACTACTTGTTGAAACATTTTTGGACCGGCAGCGGAGGGGACTTCTATGAGCAATTTTTTGCTCTAACGTAAGAGGGGACAATGCTAGAATACCATGAGCATTTTGAGCACTTGGCCGGCTGATTGGACCGGCTTCACCAGACTGTACTGGAGAGGAACTTTATAAAATGGCTCAAACCAGAGATTTGGGCGATAGTTAGAGTGATGAGGCCTCATGATTTGGTATAGGCTATAGAGCTAGCCTAATTAGTGGAGGGTCAGAAGAACTTGGAGAGAGGGGCTGGAGGTAGCAGCTCCGAAGAATCATATAGGATGACTACCACCCTTTTGACATCAAAGGAGCCGACACTAGGTACTCTTAAGTCGACCTCGAGAGATAAGAATGTAGGAGAAAGACCAGGAGAAAACTTCAAGAAACTCACAGAGACGAAACTAGAGGAGAAGAGGGCGAAGGAGCTATATTTTATACGTTAGAAGAGGTATACATCGGGGCATAGGTTTAAGGACTGAATTTTTCAGGTTCTCACTGTTTGTGATGACGAGGAAGTTGAGGAAGGAGCCGTCTTTTCACATTGCGGACAAGGCGGGTCTTTGGGAGGGGGTATTGTTAGATGACTGTGAGACGGAACATGCTTCCACTTGTGAGGTGGAATAGGTTCCGCCTATTTAAGTGGTGTGGGGCCCAACAGTCCAACAACATTAGGCTAGCAATTAAGAGGAAATTAAAGAGGGGATTAGGAGGGAAATTAAAATTAGGAGGGCTGTTTTGGCATTAACTATATTTTGTATGCTTTAAATATATTGTTTATTCTTGGCTTTGGTTTTTATCTTATGTTTTCTAAAAAAATGGATAGTTCTTAGATTTTGTTTGGGCTCTAGCCGCCAGCTAGAGATTGAGAGAGCCGGATCCTCTTCTTCGATTAATTATCCAACTGCATCTTGTTATTTTCTTTCGTATTCCTTGCAATAAAAAGTTTGTGGTGTGTCCAAATTTTTTAATTACGGTTTGCTAATTTGGTTGAAAGAGCACCTGCTTCCTATCAAAGTGTTAAGCCCACTGACAAGGGAGTCAATTCATTAAGGCTTCTTTTGGGATGGCTTCCTTATTGCTTCTTAAAGCAGCTTTGTAGTACAAAAATTTAAATTTTTATGCTAGAAAGCTGCTATATGAAGCAGTAAGAAAGCCATCCCAAATGAAGCCTAAGTGGGATAGAATGAGAGATTGTAAAATCACTTGCGTTAGTGATGTAGAACTGTTAAACATTGAGTTGCCTTTTGATGTAATATTGATGTTTAACTAGAATCTCTAAAGTTAAAGCTGCTTATGTTGGAGCACACTTTGGATGAGTAACTATCCTAAGAAGCTATACCAAGAGTACAACAACATGACGCTTATGATAATATATTAGACAACATTTCAATGATTAAGAGTTAGAGACTTGACAAGTTACTCCAATAAGTTTTCAAATATCGATCGATAATCTTATTAGGATCTCCTTAACTTTATGTATCTTGTTTAGTATTTTCTTGCTTTGTTTACGATGGTATTCTAAAATAATTTATTTCCTAAATTTCATCTCTCATAATTTATTTTTATTTAAGAATGTTTTATTTTTGCTTCCTAATCATTATAAAAAGGATTCATGTAGCCGAACCAATGTAGTGGGATAAAGGCTTGATATTGTTTATCTTTGTCTCCTAATACATTCAACAAATTTTCTAGTTTTCTAATCTCCTTTCTTAACTATTTTATATATTTAGTTTTCTCTTTAGTATTATATAAATTATGAAAAGCTATAACTTTTACTTAACTTCTTCCTTTTTTTATACTCATTATAAGTCTTAGAAGTATGTATCTTTCACTATTATTTAAAGCATCTCTTTCCCCTTATGGTCTTTTGTTCCTTCCTTACTTCATGGCCAAGTGACTTTGTTTTCTAATGATTTATTTTTAGACTCTTTTAAGACTTCTATAATAAATGTTTAATTGAAACTAGCCATCTTTTCCCATATTATGTTGACTCAACTAAAAAAAATCAATTTTCATATCATAATAACCTATCTTGAAAGATTAATAATTTCTTATTTTAATAAATTTCACTATTTTATCTTTAGGAAATTATTTCATTTCATCATTCTCTTTAGACTTCTAAGATATAATTCTATATTTATTACTTTATTTTGTATGTGAAATTATTTATAATCTTTTTAAAATAAGTGATAAATTTGTATTTAGAAATCTAACATGCAACATGAATCCTTTTTCTCCATTGTGTCCTATTAAGAGTCAATTTCTCATTTAAATCTAATTTAATATTTTATAACTAAGTCTTTTTAGATCTACCTTTACCTTTCTAAACATAGGCCAAATCTAATACGTTTACTCTCCTAATCGGGTCATCGGAAGGCTGATGTTTTATGTGAACAAACCATCTAAGGCGACTCTCTCTAATCTTATCTGCCATTGGAGCTACTCAAACCTTTTCACGTATATGCTGGTTTCGCATTTTGTCTTTAAGAGTAAAGCCACTCATCCACCTGTGCATCCTCATATCTATAACAATTAACTTAATTTTATGGTTCTTTTTTAATGGCCAACATTCTGTGTCATAAAGCATTGCAGGTCTCACTAACATCTTATAGAATTTTCCCTTAACTTTGAGGGATATTTTTCTATCAAACAATATGCCTGATGCATTCCTCCACTTCTACCATCCAACATGAATTTTACTAATAATACCCCCATCTATTTTACTATCTCTCTGGACAATTGACTCAACATATTTAAAACGTGTACTCTTATTAATGACTAAATCACCCAAAGTAAAAATCCTCACACAAAATCTATCACTACTAAAATTATACTTCATGTATATAGTTTAGATTTACTCAAACAAAAATCTTTATTCTTTG